AGTAGTATATTATGGGATTAGGGATGCTCACCTTCCCAGGACCCCACTGGAAGGACCAGTGATGTCACCCTTAGGTGAAGGGAAGACTTTTTTTCACTGGATATCTGAACCAATAGTGCTAAATCCAGATCACCTGCTTGCATGCCTGCACTTGGGCATCAATTTTGGTGCAAGGGTTGGTTTACTGTATAAGACTTTTTTCATAATTAGTCAGAAATTCACCTAAAGTAGCCCTTTTATCAAATATAGGGGCTGCCATTGCAGTCATTTTAAAAATGTTGTTTGCCTGACTATGTTTGACTCATCTGCGGAGCATTGTATGCACAAGTATGCAGCAGATAAGGAAAAATGTCAGAATTGTTTATTTCTTAACTTCTATGTTAGTAACCAATAAAATGTTGAAACCAAAGCATCAAAGTGGTGTGGAAATTTTTGTAAAAACTACTTGTCCAAGGACTAAAGCGGGGGCCCAATCTACTTGTCCTGATACAATTTTTTTTTTTTTTTATCCGAAACCGTTTTTAGCAGTGCTAAAAAGAGCTTCTCATTGGTCAGCGCCGTCAGGTGACCGTGTTGACCAACGAGTGCTTGCAATTTGGGAGCGAAATTCAGAATACATGGAACAGGTACAGATAGTACACTCGTACTGGTGGACGGGAAGGACCGTTCGCCAAAAGGTAAGTATAGTGGGACGGAGATTTGTGTGGGCAATTCCATTTTCCCAAATTACTTGGGAAAGTGAATTTACCCTTTAGGGTTCGTGCAGACTTGGGCAATCCTGGGACACGCGATCGTGTGCGTTTGCATACATCTGCGTGGCAATCGCTAAAAGGTACATGTACCTTTTTTCGCGACACGCACCACGCAGTGTTTTCAACTGCAGTCGTGTGGGACCGCCCGGGCGGTATTGCGGCGGGAAACCGTGCGATCTGCCTGGCGCAACTGGAGTGCCATTAGGAAAATAATGACACTGCCAGCGCGATCGGCGGTGGTGTGCGATTCCGTGACCGCCCAGCCATCCGCTCGGTTTCGTGCACGATGACCGGGCAGTCATGGATTGCACATCAACGCCACACGGTTGCACACGATCGTGGTTGAAAACGCTGCGCATTTATTCGCATGTAGATGGTGGGGGCAGCGGGGCTAGTTATCATTTTTACAATTTTTATTTACTTTGTAAACATTTAAAATTTTCATTTATTTTATAATTTTTACTTTATCGCCTTTTTATTATTTACATTTTTATTTAGTTACATTTTTAATTACTATTTTTTACTTTTTTTTCACTTGACTTTATTGCTGTCACACAGGGGATAACAAGCCCCCGTGTGATAGCATTTGGAGATGACAGGTACTCTTTATTGACTCTGTCACCTCCAACACAGGAGTTCTACCACAGCACTGTGGTAGAAGTCCTGTGACCGGAACGAGCAGCGGCCGGGGACAGAGGCTGAGGGAGGTGACGGTGCTCGTCACAGCTCCACCGTCCGGCTCTGTCACCACTCCATCAGCGATCCTTGTGGTAGGGATGTCCCGATGCCACTTTTTCAGGCCCAAGTACATCCCCTCATGTACTTACCAATTACCGATACTTTTTCTTAAAGGGACAGGTGACTTTAAATGATCCATAGTACAACTACATGTTATGTACTATGGATCATGTTTTAACCTATTCATGTTAGCAGTGGAAAATTGTAACTCTATTGCTGGAGTGTAGTGGAGGTGTGTGCTGTATATATGTACTACATATACATTACACACGTCCAGTACACTATAGCAATAGATTTACAGCCAGCCCCATCCCAGCTTCCCTTACTCACAGTTTCACTCCGATCCCCGTAGCCTCACGCGATGCCTCTTGTAGTCGGCGCTGGGCAGGATCGCTGCATCGCATCTCGGTGCTCAGCTTGTGGGAGGCGCTCACAATTCTGCCCTGCTAACATGAATAGGTTAAATCATGATCCATAATACATATACAGCACATACGTCCAGTACACTGCAGTAATAGAGTTACAATTATCCCCTGCTAACATGAATAGGTTAAATCATGATCCATAGTACATAATAGTACATAACATGTAGTTGTACTACGGATCATTTAACCCATTCATGTTAGCAGGGGATCATTGTAAATCTAATGCTGCAATGTACGGGACATTTGTGCTGTATATGTACAGTACATATAGATATACAATTCTGCACTGCTAACATGAATGGGTTAAATGATCCGTAGTACAGGGCTACATATCATGTACTACGGATCATTTAACCCATTCATATTAGCAGAGGATAATTGTAAATCTATTGTTGCAGTGCACTCTATATGTCGTATATAGTACTTGTACATATAGAGTGCCTGCAACAATACATTTACAATTATCCTCTGCTAAAAAGAATGGGTTAAATGATCCATAGTACAGGGCTACATACAGATCATTTAATCCATTTATGTTAGCAGAGTATAATTGTAAATGTATTGTCTGCACTGTATGAGCAGTGTGTACTCTATATATACTCTATATGTGGCACATATAGAGTATATACTGCTCATACAGTGCAGAGAATACATTTATAAATAAATTTTGCAGCATAATAGTGTTCCCTCCCCCTTGCCCTCACTCACTGTGCCGGAGAGAGCAGCGACGAGTCAGCGCTGGTCCAGTGGGAGGAGCTCCAGGTGGGGTCCTAATTTAGCTGGCTCAGAGGTTCCTGCCAGCTAAATTAGAATCCCACCTGTAGCTTCTCTCGCCGGACTAGCCGCTGCGGGGTTTTTTTTTTTTCTTACTTACCTCGCCGAGCGTCGCGTCACTGCTGCTCCGGTGGGCGGCGCTCCAAGTGGGGTCATCTAGCAGTCTCCGGCCACCTAAATTAATTAGGACGGAGACTGCCAGATGGCGCTAGGCATCGGGGCATTTTGACAAGTACAAGTATTTGTCAAAATGCCTTGTATCGGGCAAGATTCCGATGCTAGTATCGGGACATCCCTAATTTGTGGTTATAGTTGTTGTGGTGTTGGAAAGAGTATTGCATGAAGGAGCTGATGCACTGTGTTATTGCAGGGTCTCTTTCAGGGCCCTTCTCAGTGTGACTATGCAAGCAGCTAAAGCTACAGAGAAATATTATTACTATAAGAACATAAGAACCATGTATGTGTGTGGTCTGTGAGTATAGATGTTGATCATTTATGTGAGAGAATTCTGTTTTTTGTTTTAGGAAATTGATGAAGAGGAGCATTTTCACGACATTCCAGATGATGATAATGATGAAGAGAATACAATTGTTGATAAAGAATCATCCGCAAATGTTACATCTGCTTCTTGGATACATCAAAATGGTACACTTGATATGTTTATATTTTAAAATATCTGCATACATTATAGTTTGGTTGCAGGATTCATACAGTCCCTTCTCCTGGGGTAACCTTTTGGGCATGGTGCCCACACAGATCTGATAACATCTGCATAAACGTATACAATATTTGGTTTCTATACCATAAATAAAGAATGCAAACATACTATTTTTTAAAAGGATTGCATATTGTTCAGCCCATATTTTTTACTTAGGTTTGGTACTAAGAAATAAAATGTATATTTTGTCCATATTTTGAATTCGGTATATACACTGATTAGTCATAACATTATGACCACTGAGAGGTGAAGTGAATAACATTGATTACCTTGTCGCCTAAAAGTGGGTGGGATATATTGGGCAGCAAGTGATCCCTGTGTGATGCTTTCGGCAATGTGTTTTTGTGAGAAAGCCTTGGGTCCTCTCCAGTGGTGTATTCTGCTTTGTGGCTGCCCTAGGCAAGGCAAAATTTGGGCGCCCCCACCCCCACTAAATTTACCCCACCCCTTCCTGTTTAATACTTTTTGCGTAACCTGCCAGCCGCTGGATACAGTGCTCGCGCTGTATCTAGCTTTTGACATGTTCTGCTATTGGCATAGCAGAAAAGCTGTGGTCTCGGGGGCTGTGCAGGATCTGTGGTGGGCTCTGCAGGCCTCGGGGCTTTGCAGGATCTGTGGCGAGCTCTGCGAGGTCTATGGTGGGCAGAGCCCACAATAGATCTTGCACAGCCCCCTGAGACCCTGCAGAGCACCCCACAGATCCTGCACAGGCCCTGCAGTCTGTAGGGTATTAGGGGGGCTGTGCAGGATCCGTATTGGGCTCTGCCCACAAAAGACCCCGCAGAGCCCACCACAGATCCTACAAAGCCCCCCCTCAGATCCTGCAGAAACCCCCTGAGACCCAGCAGTCTGACAGATCTCAGGGGGGCTGTGCAGGATCTGGGTGGGCTTTGCAGGCTGCAGAGACCCCCTACGGATCCTGCACAACCCCCACAGATCATGCAGAGACCCTGCAGGTTCTCAGGGGGCTCTGCATGATCTGTGGTGGGCTTTGCAGGCTGCAGAGCCCCCTACGGATCCTGCAAAGCCCCCCACAGATCATGCTGAGACCGTTCTGCTGGATCTCAGGGGGGCTGTGCAGGATCTGGGTGGGCTTTGCAGGCTGCAGAGCCCCCTACGGATCCTGCAAAGCCCCCCACAGATCATGCTGAGACCGTTCTGCTGGATCTCAGGGGGGCTGTGCAGGATCTGTGGTGGGTTGTGCAGGATCCGTAGGGGGTCTCTGCATGCTCAGTGGGGGCTCTGCAGGATCCGTAGGGGGTCTCTGCATGCTCAGTGGGGGCTCTGCAGGATCTGTGGTGGGCTTTGCAGGCTGCAGAGCCCCCTACGGATCCTGCAAAGCCCCCACTGATCATGCAGAGACCCCCTACGGATCCTGCACAACCCCCCACAGATCATGCAGAGACCCTGCAAGATCTCAGGGGGGCTGTGCGTGATCTGTGGTGGGCTTTGCAGGCTGCAGAGCCCCCTACGGATCCAGCAAAGTCCCCCACAGATCCTGCAGAGACCCCCTGAGACCTTTCAGTCTGCTGGATCTCAGGGGGGCTGTGCAAGATCTGTGGTGGGCTTTGCAGGCTGCAGAGCCCCCTGCGGATCCTTCAAAGCCTATCAAAAGGTATTGCGCAGCCTGGTTGGGCTTTTTTTTGTACTGTAGGAGTCGTTCCTGTGGTGTTCATAGGGCAGATTTAATTTTTGTAGAAATAGTCTTTTCCCTGTAGCCCTTTCGCTGAAATGCATCAGCCAGTGGGCTCAGATATTTGTCTCTGTCCTCCGCGTCAGAGCAAATGCGGTGGTATCGGATTGCTTGGCTGTAGATGGCACCCTGTTTAGTGTGATTTGGATGGAAGCTGGAATTATGGATGCAGCTGTACCTGTCTGTGGGCTTTCTGTACACTGAAGAACGGAGTGAGCCATTGCTGACAGTTATGGCACAATCCAGAAAAAAACACACTGGGGGGAATTTATCAAAACTGGAGTAGACAAAATGTGGCGCAGCTGTGCATGGCAACCAATCAGCTTCTCTCTTCCGTTTTTGTTCAGTTAAGATTTCAAAATATAAGGGAGATGCTGATTGGTTGCCATGCACAGTTGCTCCAGTTTTGATAAATTCCCTTCAGTGTGTTCTGATAAATTCATTTTGAGTTTGATCGATGGATGGAAGGAATTGAATGATTCATGGAAGTTTAAAAGGCTTTCTTCTGTCCATATAATGAAAATATCATCAATATAACGATAATATTTAAATGGTTTGTGAGGGTGAGTGGCTAGGAATCTGTTTTCTAGGTCAGCCATGAAGAGATTGGCATATTGTGGTGACATTTTTGTGCCCATAGCAGTCCCTGTAATTTGTAAATAGATGTTGTTATTGAAATTGAAGTAGTTGTGTGTCAGTATAAATTCAATGAGTTTGGCAATGGTTTCACTATCATGTTTTTGTCTGACATGGGAGGAAAGGAATTTGATGCAGGCCTCAATACCATCTTTATGGGGGATTATACTGTACAAAGATTCCACATCCATTGTGACAATTATAGTATTAGCAGGTTAGTGATTTGGCTCAGTTTGTTCAGAAAATCTGTTGTGTCTTGTATAAAACTCCCAGTCTTGATAACTAGGGGCTTCAGAATGTTTTCAATGAAGCCAGATATTTGTTCTGTAATTTTTTCCATACCTGTAATAATGGGTCGTCCTGGGTTTCCTGGCTTGTGGATTTTGGGCAGCATGTAGAAGGTACCCATGTGAGGATTGGAAGGTAACAAGTAATCCAATGTGTTTTGGGAAGGATTTGATAAGTTTAGTAAGTTCTTCTGTGTATTCCCTGGTGGGGTCCTGGTCCAGTTTTTTGTAGTAGTTTTTCAGACAATTGTCAGTTTTCCTTCTGCAATGTAGTCCTGGGTGTTCATGATAACTATCATTGCACACTGCAATACTGTGTTTTTGTTTTTTTGACATCTTAGGCCTTGTTCACCCCAAATGCAGACCAGATCCGGTCAGGTTTCTGCACACGCAGTGCAGTGGGTTGTGCCGCGTTTTGGATGCGTTTTTGATGCGTTCCAGACCAGATCCAGAGCAGGTAAAATAGGGCTTGCCGCAGTTTTTTCATCCGGTCTGGATCTGGTCTGGTCTGGATCCGCACGCTGCGATGTGAACAGATATATATAGATCTATATTTATATACAGTTTGTTTTCTTTGTTTTTTGTTCACTACATTTTGCAGAAGGTTACAACGATAGACATAACAACATAGTTATAGATATAGATACAGAATGTGGGAACATTAAAAATACGACCAGATATTTGCTGTTATTTTAATAGCTCGGTTTATTGGCTTGGAGTTTTACAATTCAGACAGCTGCGGCAAAGGGAGTAAGCGACAATGGACAGCCCTGTTGCATTTCTCTGCAGCCTGGAAGATTTTGCTTCATTAAATATAATGCTGTCAGACTTGCCACAAAAGACATGTACTTGTAAAAACTAAGCAATACAACTAAAGGTACAGTTTATGTAGCACATCATTTATTTTCAACACTTTAACAAAATGTTTTTGCCTTTTTCTGACAGGATTGTAATTTTTTTTTTGTCCTTCTGCGTATTGCACATTTGGTTATTTTTTTTCTTCTGTTAAAGGTATAAGCAATGTGAATCATTATGATCCCTTCAATAGAAATCCTATATTTTGTGGCGCTGATAACACAAGCCTTTGGGAGTTAAAAAAGGTATGTAGATGTGGTTCTCTGTTTTGTAGGAGATATAAAGGCAATTGTACATTGCATTGATAATTTTTAAAAGTTTCACTGATACTGTGTATACTAGGCTTAACCACTTCAAGACCAGGTGTTTAGACCCCCTTCCTGGCCAGGCCATTTTTCAGTATTCAGCGCTGCAGTACTTTGACTGACGTTTTTTCCGTCATGCAACACTGTACTGAAATGAATTTTATACCATTTTTTGGGGACAGATAGAGCTTTATTTTGGTGGTATTTAATCACCACTGGGGTTTTTATTTTTTATTATAATTAGGAAAAATTACAGAAACTTTTGGAAAAAAATTTTTTTTTTTTTACATTGTTAGGAAACATTTATTATTCCCCAGTTTTTTGGTAAAATATAAAAGATCGGGTCACGTTGGGTAAATAGACACCAAACATGTCAAGCTTTAAAATTGCGCGCACCCGCGAAATCGCAGATAACTAATCGCAGATAACTATACCCAAAATTGGCCATAGGCGACATTTTAAAAGCTTTTACTGCTCATCAGTTTAGTGTTCAGTGATTGATGGCCCTAGACTTATTGCTCTCACTCGGACGTTCGCGGCGATATGTAACATGTGCGGCGTAATGGGCGCAAAATGTACCACCCATTAATAACCTTTTGTTAGGACAGACAACGTGCACATCTAGTTTACAAATGATAATGAAGATCTGCTAGCATAGTGTGGACAGTGTTAGGCAGCAACTATAACGCCCCAGCCCCCTCCTTAAGCCCGCATTTACACTTGGCATTTGCGCGAACGTGTGCAAATTTGAGCTTGCTCACGAAAAGTACACGTCGTGCTTGTGGTGCCATTACAGGTGATGATACTCCAAAGTGACAAGCAAGACCTGCATTTTTGCAAAGGTGCAGTCAGAAATTATTCAAAGCGTGTAGCTGCTTTGCTGCATGTAGGGCAGCCTATTGAAATTAATGCCCATGGGGGATGCGTGACAAACATGATAAAAACACTGTGCACATTCATTTGCACGCACCAAGTGTGTTTAGGGCATAAACTATACATATAAGGGACAAGATAAGTTTTTTTCACTAAGTAAAAAGGAAGCAGCAATTTTTATTTATATTTTGAGTTATGCTCTGTGAATGTGTTACAGATATATAAAGTAGGTTTATCTGGAAAATTGGGAATACACTTTAACCCCTTGATGACCAAGGCCTTTTTTTCATTTTTTGGTTACACGGTATAATCCACATTTTACGCCTGAAAATTACTTCAAACCCCCAAACATTATGTATTTTCTGAAAGACAAGACCCTTTAGAGTAAAATGCTGGCAGTTGCAAATTTTTATGTTGCACGATATTAGCGAAAAATGTGAATTGTGAAAAATGCACTTAACCCTTTCGCTGCCAAGGACGTACGGCATACGGAGCTACAAAGGTGCTTCTGGCTGGCCAGCTCAGTATGCCGTACGGACCTGGCATTTACAGTTCTACTATAAGCTCATGAAGCTTATAGTAGAACTGTTCCCCGGACTGTCCCCTTCAAATTAATAGCTGTCATCAGCGGCTCACAAGACGCTGATGACTGCTATCATCAAAAATACCGGACTTATGTCCTCAATTTCTTTTTCTATTTCAAAAGGGAAATGTCAGGGGTCCATTTAGACCCCAGATATTTCGCCGCAGCGCCAACAGTAAAAAATAAAACATTATTTAAAAATAAATAGAAAATGTAAAAAAAATAAAAATTTTAAAAAAAATTAAATAAAAAAAAAAAAAAACTAATAAAAAAAGCACAGCCCCTCCCTCCCCCCACATAACAAATATGGTTTGGGGGTCTTTTACAAACGCTAGCAACGCAGCAGTTGCAAATCAAATCAATAGGAAAAAATTGCCAAAAATGGCTTGGCCAGCTGATTTGAAAAATGTTCCGGAGGGCTTGGCAGCGAAAGGGTTAAATGCTCCAAAACACAAATAGGCATTGTTTTTTTATAAAAGATGAGGTTACAACAAGTAAATAGATACCCAACATGCCCAGGTTACAAATTGTGTGCACCTGTGAAACTGACAAAATTCAGTACCCCAAAAAGCGGGACTTTACAAAAACAAAATGTATTTTTACATTTAATTTAATATTTTTAAAACTGCTTTTTGGTTTTTTTTTTAACTTTAATTGCTATCAACATGGGGGGCTTACAAGCCCCCCGTGTGATAGCATATTGGCAGTGACAGGTACTCTTTAAGGTGATACTGGGGGTCCATAAGACCCCTAGTATCACCTTTACACTTGAAATAAGCTATTGAAGTGCAAATTGCACTTCAATAGCTTATTGCTGGGCTTCAGGAGCCCAGCAATGACATCTATGGGAATGGAAGTGATGTAATCTGCATCTCTCCCGTTTCCATAGTACTGGGAGGAGATCAGTGAACGGAGGTTCGCCGAGCTCCTCCCCAGCTTCCCCCCGCCACCATAACGGCTAGTAGGAGTGGCAGCGGAGCCCGGAAAACACGGCAGGGGTATTGGGGCGGGGGCGTTTACCGGCCCGTAGAAGCAATCTAGCGGCAGAATCGCTTCTACTGTAAAGCCGACAGTTGACTTTACAAATGCAGGGTTCCGACGGAATCTGTTTAAAACGGGCCCAATGCCAGTAATGTACACTGTATATCACTGGTCATGAAGGGGTTTATTGTGGCGTTCTCCATTGCAACCACTTATTTTTCCCACACATTTATGCCATTTGTTTTTGCTGATGTATGCATAATTTTTATAGAAGGACATTGAGGTTTTTTTGTGTAGTTTTTTAAACCTTTCTCTCAAAATTCTTATAACTTTGTGTTCTCTTTTTACAGCTTTCCGATCACTTTCATCCATCTGTTTCACTCTTTGCAAAAACCATCCTGGAGGTGAGAATGAACATGGAATGAAATGTTTTATGCATTTAATTCCAAATTGTGCAAAGGGACAATTCAAGTAGTAACACTATTAACTACCTCCCGGCCGTTGTGAAAAAGTGGCCAGCCGGGAGCTTCCTGGATGTAACAGGCCGTGTATACACTTGTGCGCGAGCTGGAAGGACACAAAATGTGAAAACCGGCCCTGATGCCTGTTAACATACAAGCGATCTGCCGGCTATAGAGCCTGCAAACGAGCAGAAAAAAAGGTTCCATTAACCCTGGGAGGAATTACCCATCTTAGGGCCAGAAATAACACCTAAGCACCCAACACCAAAAAGGGGACCCTGGTGAAGAGCAGGAAGTCGGAGCAGCAGGGGATAGAGAGGGGAAAAAGCACTCTCTTACCTGTGCTGGGCTGGAGACTGAGGTGCCTGTATCCACCACTGCCTGGGCTTCCTCCATGGCGTACAGCGTGCAGTCCGGCGTCTCCCACGGCCTCTGCCGGAGGAAGATATGCCCGGAAGCTCCAGCCAAGGCCCTCCCCTTCCCCTGCACCGAAAACGAGGAGCTTGCAGAGGGATGAGCCAGCCGACCACCTGGCCAGCACCCATGGAACCCAGCCAAGGGTGGAAACAACCTCTGGTCAAGGTCCTCTCCAGACACGGAAGGACAAGAGGAGACCAGAGAACCTCCCATCTCCAGGAGCACTTCTGGCGGCCTAAAAGCGGTACCATACAGGGGGAAACATATCAGGGCAGCATGCACCGAGGTATCTCCCCACCCCCCAACAGCGCTTCTTCCGGTGACGTGTCTCCTCCGGATAAACACAAACTGAAGAATAGCCGTTGGGGGCGGCCTTTTAAGTAATGGTGGCGTGTTTTCTGTTTTGGGGGAGATACCTCCACGTCTCACATGCTGTCCTGGAAAACGTTATTGGAAATGGGAGATTAACAGCATGAATGTGTAGCTGAAAAATATACAGAAATTGCTTGAAAAATTGAGGTTTTTTTTAGGGCAATGAGAGTCCCTACTCTGCGTTAGTAAAGTGTTTGTAATAAATTGCAGTCAATGTATATTGATAATTGTATATTGTAATTCTGTATTTAGCTGTTATCTAGGAGTTTATTTTCAGTTTAAGAAAAAAATGCCTACAAAATGTAGACAAGATACTATTTAACAAATCTCCCTGAAATCAAGTCTGCCTTAAAGCAGAACCCTTGCAGTGGGGCTATCCCTGCACTGCAAGGGTTAAGTAAGTTCTCCCATCAGTTCATCTCCATATATTGCTGTTATGCCCTGCTCTGCTCACCTCGCCTACTGCAGCCTGTTCTCATAGTTCTAGCTTCTGTGACCCCATGGTTCAACACTGAAGGAGACAAATACAGTGTATTCAGTATCTGGCTTACATTTAATCCACAGCATTTGTTCCACACTTAGGACATGTTCACCCCAAGTGCGGAGCAGATGCAGAGCAGTTACAGAACGCATCAAAAATGCATCCAGTGTATTCCAATTGTATTTTGGGCTCTAGTTCACACCACAGCGTTCAGTTCCAGAGCATGTGGAAAAACTGCAGCATGCCCTATTTTTTTCCTGCTCTGGAACAAACCAAAACGCATGCAAATGCCCTGGAACACACTGAAAGCCCATTTTAGGCTATATATATATATATATATTAGTGTTTTAACAGCCAAAAACGCGGGAAAATGCACTGCAAGTGCAGAAACTCATGCAGATCTGGTCCGGATTTGGTGTGAATAAGCCCTTAATGGCAAGTATGTTTTAAGCATCTTTTCACAGGAGTGTAACGTGAGTCTCTTTATTTGTAAACCGTTATTTTTCCTTTCCACAGGGTAATTCTATTCATTATACAGGCGACCCGCTACAAGATTTTACCTTAATGAGATTTCTGGACCGTTTTGTGTACCGCAATCCTAAACAACAGAGACTTCAAGGCAAGTTTTACTGGGTTTTTTTCTCTTGCAGAGAGTTTAACTTTTTTTTCTTTTCACTAGAAGTCCAGTCTAATATTCACCACTAACCTTTTTTGTGGCTAAATAAGTGTAGAGTGAGGGTACCAATTATTCTTGCATACCTTGCTCCCAAAAAGTGAAACTGTTGGAGACAGCTAGTATATTTGCGGGAGGGGGACTTTGCAACAATAGCCGGACATGTTGGTGCTTTGTCTGTTAAAATGGCCTTGAATTCTTCTGTGACGAGGGTTTGAGAAGCTTCTATAGGTATGTGCATCCATCTTCAGTTGATTGCATATTATCTCTGCAGCAGCTTTGTTTCATCTTTGCCTTGTGACAGTGCCGAGGAAGATATAAAAATTAGACTAAATGTGGGTGTGACAGGTTAACCAAAAAGATATCCAAGAGAGCAAGGCAAGAATGAAGAAGAAAGCAAAGGTGGGAATGATCAGGCCTCATCAGGGGCTATAAAATGTCATCCAGCCCCATTATATGTATGGTATCTTGAAGGCATTGGGCATATGCTAAACATTTTAGATGCAAACTGCCTCAACACATAAAATGAACTGTGCTACTTCACTATAGGGAATGAAAAATGATCAAGTGGAGGAAAGAAGAATATGAATAACAATAATGATTTTTACCTGTTTAAAGGAGTAAATATACAGAATAGTACTGTGTATGCAAATATATTGTGTATAATTCCTGCAAATTACAATTTTATTTAAATGCAGAAAAGATCCAGAAAATGAATTGTCTGTGAAGGTTCTCATTCGTCCAGATCATGGTATATCTGTAAAAAAAATAAGTCAAGGCAACTGGACTTGCTGTACTTTTCTTGAAAACGTTTCACTGGTCATCCAACCAGCTTTCTCAAATTAATTTTCTGTATCTGTAAAAAAAAAAAAAAAAAAATTCGTTTTTTTAAATGTTAACTTCAATTAAACCAGTTTATAAATAATTCATAAATATTTTATAAAATTTTAAAGTATATTGTTTTCATAGAAATATTATAAACTCCCTCGTAAGACCACGTTTATTTTTTATTTTCAGGGTGTTATGCAAATAATTACATTAATAGAGAAATGTATTCAACTGCAGGAAGGGAATTATAAATTGTAACCTTTCAAATAATATAAAATATACTCTGTTTCCCGCTATATAAATGTTTAACCCCTTCATGACTGAGGCCCTTTTTTTTTATTTTTTGTACCCATGTTATATTCCAAATTTTAGGCCTGAAAATTACTTAAAACCCCCCAACATTATATATTTTCTGAATGCCATTGTTTCAACAGGTGAATAGAATTAAACATTACATTGAATTTTTGTAATATACTATTTTTATAACATAGTATAATTCCATAGCAATTAACATAGGGTGGAAAAAAATTGTCAATTGAGTTAATCAAAATTAAAAAATCCTAAACCTGCGGTTGATCCAGAGGAGTAAACCCTAATAAAGCCTGGTCCAACAAATTGACGTTCTAGAGCAGCCTCAGGGATCCCTTAAACCAGCCTGTTGCCAGCACCATGGAAATGAATTACGCTAATCCAGAGAAGGTGGGATTAATTCTGTCTGGCCCTGCTCTGCCCTGCTACCTTAGCTGCGTCTCCTCATGTGATGTAGGAGTGATGTGAAGGAGGAAACTGAGGACCCTGATGTGAAGGGGGAATTGCAGAGAGAAATATATTTACACAACAGGGCTCTAGAATGAAAAATAAATGTTCCCAAAGCATTATGGAAGCTCTACACAAACTACACTCTCTAGAAGTAAAAACATATCCTGTCATTTGAACTTCTTCTGTTCGTTTTTGACATGTTTACTCAAAGATTCACAGAAACTCGAACAGAGGTACAAATATAGCAACAAATGTAGTAGGCCTCTTGCCATGGGTGAAGCCCAGTATCAAAATGTCATATTTCAGACAATAATTCAGGCCTGCCGCTGCAAGTAGGCCCGGCCAACACGGATCTCCTCGGTATCCTGGAGGGTGACCAGCCGCAATCAGGCAGTGGCGGCCCTCTATTCAGGCATATTAGAGGGCCGCTCGCTCCTCACTAGGGACCTGAGAGGCCCCAGCGAGCGGCCCTCTAATGTGCCAGAAGAGAGGGCGGCAGCCAGAATATTTAGCCTTTATGTTGTAAAGCCTTGGAAGTGGGAGTGGCTAAATAGACAGGGTTACATCGGGTAAATAGACACCAAACATGTCAAGCCCTAAAATTGCACGCGTCAGCAAAATTGCAAAAAAACTACCATACCCAAAACTGGCCATAGGCGATGCTTGAAAAGCTTTTACCGCTCATCGGTTTAGTGTTATCAGTGAATCATGGCCATAGAATTATTACTCACAATCCGATGTCCACAGTGATGTATAACATGTGCAGCACAATGGGCGCAATCGTAGTTTTTGCATGTAGGCACACCCGATGCATGTTTATGTGGGGATGGGGAAATTTAAAAAAAAAAAAAATTTATGTGATTTGATTTTTCTTTATGCTCCTTTTTTAATTTTTTGAAACTTTTTTTTTTGAAACTTTTTTGCTATCATAGGGGGTTAACAAGCCCCCTATGTGATATCAAATTACAGTGACTGGTCCTCTTTTATAGAGACATCAGGGGTCTCTAAGATCACTAATGTCACCCAGAGACCCACAGAGAAGCTGACGAAGTAGAGATCTGCTTCACCATCTTCTCTCCGGCTTCTGTAGCCGGGATGACAGCTGAATGCAGAAGTGATGTAATATACATCACTTCCTGCATTCTGATAGCGGAGAGGAGATCAGAGGGAGATTGTGTACTGAACTCCCTCTGATCTCTGGTGACAGAGCGGCTGTGGTGGTCCTGGCCCGCACCGAGCACAGCAGATCTCGGGAACGGCGGGGTGGGGGGCTCTACAGACGCCAGAACGCTTGTATTTAAACAGCCATCGCCGACTGTTTACATTTACTGTAGTTTTCTTCTTAAAATGCCCACCCGCATCTACAAGGCTGCTTGTTTAGGTTTAGGTATGGGAGGTGGTTAAAGTCCTTCTTCTTTTTTTTTTTTTTTTATATAGTTTTAAAGTATTTGCACACTTAATGTCATGTTTTGCTAAAATAAGCATCAGATGAATAGCAAAGTGATAATTGTTTTTTATTTGCTCAGAAAGCAACAGAGGCTTTTTAAGGCATCAGAAGAAGAAGTTGTATATGAATGAAGAGCGTGAACCAGGTAAGAAAATATAAGATTTCTTTATAAGACTGGCATCAACTGTTTTTTATGCCTACATCATTAATGCATTGAGATAAGATATCCTAACAATTACAAATTGCTACATTTTGCAGGTCTTGCCAAAGGATTGCATTCCTCAAAATTGTATTAAAATACTTTTTTCTACGTTTATTTTTTTTCTCAGATAAGTTTTTATTGGTTTGCATTTGTAAAAGAATAATAAACAGGCATATACAAATATGACTTACAAAAGAACAGTCGGTACCATTACTGAAGTTACATAGGTATACGCATGTGGCACACGGGCATAAATGATAGTGGCATGTCCACGCAAAAACAACAAATGTGGCCTAGTACAGCAACGTGAGGTGTTCATGACTATTCGGGAACAACTGTCATATAAACAACGTAGACATTACAATCTGGCAGCACCTCTCCACATGGTGGCGTTGATGCACTATTGTACCTCAGCACTACCGACCTATAGGAGGCCTGGCTAGTAATTAGAAAGTTGCTTGTCTGGGAATATGAGCATCTGGGCCCCTACCTCAGTAGGGTCGGTAGTGCCACCAGAATGTATACGCTAGTAGGTGCCCCATCTGAGTACCATCTAGTGGCCGTACTTCGTGTCAGCATTGGCGTGGAGCAGATTTTGGTACCTGACAAGACTAACACAGAAAGCAACAGGAGGAGGGGGGTAAGAGAGGTATGGGGGGCAGGCAAGGAAAGCAGAAGAGGAGAAAGAAGAGGGAGGGAAGAGAAGATTCGGATTGCTCTGAGGCATATACCATCACAGAGGTTCGTGAAGGTAAGTTACAGAGAACAGAGCCGGCGTAAGGCCGAGGAGGGGGAAGTACTTGTCAATCCAGGGAGACCATGTAGTTTCATATTTGGTCATATGGTTATTGAGCTGCGCTGTCCTTTTCTCATGCGTCATAACCCAATTGACGTGGTTGACCACACTTTGGATACTAAGGGAATTGGTAAGCCAATTTTTTGCGATTTCTCTCTTGGCAGAAGTTAAATTGTTTGCGGAGGAGTCCTTCTGGCTTACAATTAAGCAAAGTAAAAATGGGCTTTTGGTCAGGGGTTTCCGAGAAAAGTGACGACAGGAGGGCGAACACGTCATCCCAGAAGGTCGAAGCATGCGGACAGCTCCACCAGATGTGGAAGAAGTTGCCTAGTTTCGGGCATCCCCGAAAGCAGTTGGGAGAGCACTGAGGATTGTAAAACGCCACTCTGGCAGGCACCCTGTACCAGCGCAGGAGGACCTTGTAGTTAATTTCCAACATGCTTACACATCGCGAGCTAAATTTCGTATTTGCCCAGGATTGCTCCCAGCTGTCGTCATCTATAGGGGACTCTAGATCCTTTTCCCATTGAGGGACATATGAAGGGGGGGTGTATCTGTGGGGGTAATCAGAGCGGTGTAGAGGAGTGAAATGAGTCCTGGAGTGTGGGGGTTAGTGCGGCAAACTCTCTCAAATGAAGTCGATGTGGGACTAGTTTGTTGTGGGGTGTACTTGGATAGAAAATGCTTGATCTGGAGGTATCTGAAGACCTCCTTCCCTGGGAGTTGGCAATGCTCTTGTAGATATGGGAAGGGTTTAATTCCCGAGGTGGTCCTTAGTTGCCAAAAGGTGCTAAGATTACGGTCTGACCATGCTGAGAACTGTGCTGCAGAGCTGGCGCAAATAGGGGGTTCGCCATAAAGGGCATGAGGGGCAAGCTGGGGGAAAGGTAGTCTTGACAGAGTCCCAAAGTCGGAGTGAGTGGGAAGTGATCGGGTTGGTTATCTTAGGTCTCTGCTTCGGGTTAAGCCAGAGGAGGTTGGCAGCTGACGTGGGGCGTACCATAGCTGATTCCAAAGTCACCCATGCTGGAGTTTCGAAACCTGAGTGCTACTTCACCAGTTGGCCTATTTGTGCTGCCTGGTAATATTTGGCTAGGTGAGGAACTGCCAACCCCCCTGGGATTTTGGCAGGTGAAGTGTGCGTCTAGGAACTCTAGGCTTCTTGTCTCCCCATATAAAAGTAAAAATTTGTGCCTGCAGTTTTCTGAGAGTTGGACTAGGGATCACAATTGGTAGTACCCTAAATAAGTAGAGAATCTTCGGCAGTAGCGTCATTTTGACCGCAGCTATCCTGCCTAGCCATGAGAGTTGGTATTGGGACCAAGTCCGCAGCATTCGTGCCAGTTTGGTCACCATCTCAGGATAGTTAGAGCTGTATAGTGTTTGGTAAGAGCTTGTCAGTTTGATTCCCAAGTAGGTGGTCAGAGCTCCAGGAGTAGGGGTAGTTGCTGGCCAGGGATTCCACTAGTGGTGGGGGTAGGGAAACATTCAGGGCCTTGGATTTTGAGTGATTGATACCTAAGCCCGAGATTTCCTCAAATTCCGACAGAAGCGCTGTCAAGTTGGGCAAGGTGATGACAGGATTAGTTATGAAGAGCAGTGCGTCATCCGCAAACATGCATAGCTTGTGAGACACACCCTCATGGTCAATGCCGGAGATGTCTGGGGACTGGCACAATTTTTGTGCTAGCAGTTCCAAAGCTAGGGCAAAGAGGAGAGGAGATAGTGGGCAGCCTTGTCGAGTACCCCTAAGGATTGGGAAAGGTTGGGAGCAAAAGCCGGAATACTTTATGCGAGCTGAGGGTTTATTATAAAGGGAGGAGATCCAAGTTAGGAAGGAGGTTCCAAAACCCCATTTCCGTAGGGTATAGAAGAGGTACGGCCAGGAGACACTGTCAAATGCTTTTCTAATGTCAAGGGAGAGGAGCTTGGAGGGGATTTTCTTAGTTATTGCTACATGCGATAGGAGGGTGATCCTTTGGATGTTATCGCTTGCCTGCCTAGTAGGAATAAAACCAACTTGGTCATTGGAGATTATCTGGCCTATCACTTTGTTGAGTCGATTAGCTAGGACTTAAGCCATCAGCTTGATGTCCACGTTGAGCAGTGAAATCGGTCTGTAATTAGAAGGGTTACTATGGTCAGAAGCTGGTTTGGGGATCATGCAGATCAGGGCGGCAAAGGAATCCTGGCCCAGGGTCTTGCCCCTGCGAAGGCAGTTAAACGAAGTCAAGAGAGGTATTAAGTGGTCTTTAAAGGTAACATAATAAGCTGCAGTGAAGCCATCTATTCCTGGGCGTTTGCCGCGGGAAAGTGTGGTGATTGCCAGTCCAACCTCCTCTTCCGTAATAGGTTCCTCAAAGGAGCCCGCTTGGGATTCTGATAGGTGGGGAAGGTCTAGACCCTCAAAGAACTGATCCGCTTGTGCAGTGGAGAAGTGGCCCTGGGAAGAGTAGAGAGCAGAGAGATGCTGTTGAAAGGTGTCAAAGATTTTCACTGGGTTGCTAGTGTGGGTGCCTGTGTGTGTGCGGAGCTTAATCGGTTTGAAGGACTGGTCCAATTGTCTGAGTCTAGAGGCCAGAAGGGAATCAGCCTTGTTACCCTTAAGATAAAATGTATGGGCTGTACGGTGAAGTTGCTTGGTGGTATGGTTAGTTAGAAGGAGGTTAAGAGTCTGTCTTGCAGACTCTAGATTGGACTTATGTATTGGTGACTGGTCTAGAGTGAAAGCTTGCGAGCAGGAATTGAATTCCTGTTCAAGCAGCGCCAGTGTCTGTAAACGTTCCTTCTTGAGCCTGGAGGATAGTTGTATGATCTGTCCCCTAAGGACCGGCTTGTGTGCTTCCCATAAGGTGACAGGAGAGATGTCAGGGGATTGATTGAGAGCAATATATTCTGTGATATAGGATTCTAGTAACATTTTAGATGTGGGGTTGGCCAATAGCGAGTCATTTAGTGTCCAGATGGGGGATCGGGAGGTTGGCAACATGGGGGGAAGTATCCTAGTGACAGCCGAGTGGTCTGACCAGGGGATAGTTAACATTTTGGAGTGTTTGGAGGAAAGCTCCAGGAGGGGGAAGAGATTCCCCCAATAAGAGAACTAGAGCCTTTAGGTTCTTTCCATCCAGGAGGGGGAAGAGATGAAGATGAGTATTTGGAGGAAGTTTGAACAAAAATGTGGTCTATCCTAGAGAAAACGTGGTGTGGGTGGGAATAGTGTGTGTAATCTGTCTTGTGTGGATTGACCTCCCTCCAACAGTCCACCATGGAGTAGGATTCCAACAGGTCCCTAAAGGGTTTCGCTGTGTGCAAGCATGAGGAGGATGATTTTGATTTGTCCCTATGAGGGAACAACACCAGGTTGGGGTCTCCACACATAACTACTGCACCCGTCGAGAGCGCATGTACTTTATCGAGAAGGTCCCTGAAGAAGGCAAGTTGGTCCACATTGGGGGCATAGTATGAAACAAGCGTGATTTTGTTATCGTCTAGGAGGCCTGTAAGGATTAGATAACGACCTAGGGGGTCTTGGGTCTCGGAGTGGCAGACAAAGTTGACCGATCTACGGATCCCTTTCCTTTTGCAGGAGACATTGGCCATAAATATCGTAGCAAATTGGGAACTGAAGTACTTGGGACATGATGACCTAGAAAAGTGGGTTTCCTGAAGGAATATGATATTGGCATGGGAGGATCTAAAGAACCTAAAGGCTCTAGTTCTCTTATTGGGGGAATTTAGGCCCTGTACATTCAGGCTCAGCAATTTAAGGGTCATTGGGAATCAAAGAACAAACAATGCAAAGGTACTCACCCTGCCTACAGTAGTGGAGTCGGATCAACCTCCTTGGGCATGCCTCCGCGCAATCCGAATCAGAAAACTGGAGTGGGATCCAAGAAAGGGAAAAGGACAACATACAATAAACATGAAAACAAAAAATGGAATATGGGGTGGAAAAATTCCACAACTATCTCGGGTCATTGGGCAGTGTGAACCTCACGATCACAGACTACCCAAGGATTCCAAGAAAATGGGAGCACAGTGACATGCTCACCCAGGCAAAACTCAGTAAAACAGAACAGTTATCATATAATGCATGTAAACCCGGTAACCGAACTCAAGGTAACTAGTTAACATATAGTGCAAGTTA